ATGTTGGATCTTGGAAACAGGATTCTATATAGGAGGCATCCAACACTTCGTCGGACCGATCGAGACAGTCTGCATCACCTTCACCCTCTTCCCAAAGTTCGCTTGATATACATAACCCATTGTGGCATCGATATTCATTTTTCTCACATTCATTTATTTCCATATCGAAACAATATTCTTCATCGAGACCTTCGTCAAAACAATCAACGATTCCGTTACATACTTCACGCCAATCAAGACACCAACTCTGTCCATTACGATGGCATTCGAGAAGAACATAGCATGGCACTTGTACTATCACTTCAGATGATTCGGGAAATGATATTCTTCGATGAAAAGCCTCTTTAACAATTTGGTTGAAAGATCTACGTCCGCCGAAAGGAAACGAATATTGGCATCGAGGACCAAACCACGGTTCAGTACAATTGTAGAGATTCTCATTCAATGCAGCATTCGGTTCAATTAAATATAATTGATATCGCTGAGCTACATCAATCGAAATTGACCACGACAGAAGTTGTTCTGCGGTAATATGAGCCAGACGTAATTGTTCGAAACTTAGTTTTTGCGAAAGCGGATGAACGGAGGTTTCGGGTGATCCTTCGAAATAGTTTACTGGACGGAAACAGTACGGAATGACTTCATCAACCATATCTAATAATTTCGAATAAGCTGGCTTCTCACGATGAACATGATAATTCAAACAATGATATTGTAGAGAATTGCTATTGATTGCTTCATTAGTATGGTATAAATTCAATTGACAAGTAATAGTTGTCCATTGAATTAAAACTATTAGAAGAAGCTGAAAAATGATTTTACCTTTGTTTATTGAACTTGTGTCCATTATCGACCGCTTTTATTTTTATCTTCACTAGTCGTAAGAGTACAGGCTGTCTATAGTCCAGAGGAGCAAAAAGTTATATATTTTTAGTGAGAGGAGAATTTTTTCTGCTGTAATATGAATGTGAATGAACAATTACTGTCGTTGATAGACTTGTCTACTAGCAAATAAAAAACGTTAGAAAGAGAATAAAACCATGTTCAAATAGCTAATAAACGTGTTAAAATGATAATGTTAGTTTCATGATAGTATATGGTTATACATTCTATAGAAAAAAATCAACATCAATTTAGTAATACTCTTTATATTGACACTTCATGCTTTATTGCCAATTTGTGGAATAATGATCATATAACCGTAAAATAAAGTCTGCCCAACAAGGAAAAACTATACTCTCTTTCCTAATACCACAC